TTTTTCTTTTCAAATAAAAAAATTAACAATTGATGGTGGCTAGTTTGGTTATGTGCCACACTTTTTCATAGGTTAATAAAAATTTGACATTGGGAGGAATGTAAATATTAAAGTATATATTTGGCTTTTTATAATAAAGAAATCGTAGGCGGTTTAACCAACGCCTTTTTGGGATATATTAAATGATGGAAATATACACAGTTCTCATTTCACTTTCTGATATCATATAAAAACAGGACTTAATCATCGATAAAAATAAATGTATTTTTAACATCATCTTAATTAATCAATTCACAAATGTTTACGTATTTTTATTTATAATAAAAAACAATTTAATAATTAATGTAATGACCTGCATTGAGTATATTGACCCACAAATTATTGCAAGTCCCGCCGCCGCATATTAAATGTGTATAGGTATTTTTCGGTGTTTTCAAGTAACATTTCTTAAATCGAGAACTTTGTAAAGAACAAAAACCACAACAACAACAATGTGTTACACGTATATAATTTATTCAAAAATAATATTTGGTTGTTGTTTTGTTTTTTTTCTTTCGTTTCACATTGAAATGTACATACATACATATATTTATAATAAAAGTTAGATAAACGAAAGGTAAACAAGTTTCCTTTTGGTGAGTGTGTGTGTGTGTGAATGGACTTTGTAAAGTTTATTTTCCATTGATGACGTAAAACCCGCTAACAACAAAACGAGGAAAACTCATTTTGTCAGTCGTTTCAGTAACGAGTTTTCTTTTTTTTACCATCAAAATGAAACTTTTGGAATAGTATACAAATTGTGAAGCTAAGTCGAACAAGTAATACCCTGTGGCGCTGAACTTAAATTTATTGAAGCCCAAAAAGGATAGTCGAACAACTAATTGCTGAAGCTATTCCCAAAACGTGAAAACCTAGCTCATTTTATCTAGAGACTGCAGGCCGATTCACCTCTTCTCATTTCTACTGAAGACAATGGAGAAGTTACTGGATATTGAGTTAAGAAATTATACCTAAATCACAGCACGCCTACTACAGGAGTTAATCAATCGATACTACCTTACACGAGGTGGTTGGATGCATTGTGAACAATTTTGAGAGATATTACTTTAGTAGCTTTCCCTGAAAATGAACGTCGAACTACAATCAATCCACTTAGGACTCAGAAACACATGATTGTTTCTATTCTAGTGGCAATCATTGTAGAGAGTTCCATTAGGAAATTTGTCAACAGGGATAAACCGAATTGTGGCGTACTCTCACCTCTGATCAGCCTTATAATGATAGATTAAATTGTTACAACTCTATTCAAGATTCTCCATCGACACCACCGACGCCTACTAAGCAGTACTTCGTGCATCTAACGACTGTGTGGGTCTCTTAGCAGCAGGTTGTTGCTCATCCGTGGACCTCATTCTCTTCACAGCCGTGGCCTGTGTTCGAGCTGCTGCGAGCCCGGTGTTGCAACTGTTGACCCAGCTGTCACGAACACCTGTTTCGTGTTCGTCATTTATTGATGGGGCTACCGTGGTAGACTTTGCACTTGCTGTAGGAATTTTATCAATTAAGAAGTCCTTCGCAATGTCATAAATAATTGTGTTGATGTCTTTAACAGGGTAATATGTCATGGGCACAGTCTTTTTTGCCTAAAAAGAATATTCTTTATTTTGTTTATTTATTTAAAATTCAATTTCGTCTTATTTTTAATTCAAATTGCTTTTTATTCTCATAACTGCAGACTGTAGCGTATTCATACCTATATTTGTTTGTTCGAATGTTAGCCACAAAACACAATTTGTCTTATCATTTTAGTCATTGGGGTTTTATAATGGTGTAAAGAACGACATAGAAGCAGAAGAAGAGCGTCGCTGTGTGTCTAACAATTTCGTGTTATAGGATAATATTGCTACTGTTCGTGTTTTCAACATTTCTGTCTTGAATTTCCATAATAGTAGAGCTGAGGTATTTTTTTTTTTAATTTTTGTTTAATTCATTTTTTGCGCGCGTAAAATTTCACAACAATTGTTTTTGTTGTTGTGTTTTATCGTTGAAAATTGAGCAACAATTTCTATATTAATCGGTCGATTTATTGTAAAATAAGGCATATTACAAAATATGTATGTCGGTCGGTAATGTGTTTATGTGTTAGTGTATTAAAGCTCAGATTGTTGTTCAATCTTTTGTTGTTAATATACAGATATATATATATATATATATATATACAAGAGCAATAACAATTGTGCCATTAATTACACAAATTATAATATGATGAAAAAAAGAAAATAGTAAAAAAATTGCAAACTCATCGCAGTGGCTATTAATCAGATGAAAATCAGTTAGTAATAAAATTATCAGTATCTATAAATGTTTCTTCCGAACGGGAATGAGTGTGTGTGCCGTTAAGAAAATTAAATATTACAACTTTTAAAAATAATGATGGTTCTGGGTAAAATATTAAATAAAAACGAAAAACTGAAATATATGGAATCAATTAAATTACATTATATTAAGGCTGATTGTAATGGAACTAAAAAAATCCATTACAACCTATTATTCCGTATAACCATTTCTAAAAGTTTAACAACAAATTGTGTCAACAAGCATAAGGCAAATTAATTTATATCATTTGAATAACAAATAAAAAACGAAAATAAACCACATTAATGAAAGTGAAGTGATTTGCATGGGTTTGTATTTTTATGTGTTTAAATGCGTCTGCACTTTTTTGTATAAACAAACATTTAACATTTTAAACTCATAAATTATAAATACAGTTTTTTTACAATAAGACCATTACGAATTCATAATCTAACATTTTGAACTTTCTTGGCACTAAATCTTTTTTCAATTGAGAATAATAATCGCTGAAATATAATTTCGCCGCTTATAAATAAAAGACGTGTTAACAAAAACTATAAAATAATTATATCAGGAGATTATATTGAAAAAATATTGTTAGTAACAACCGTTCACTCGGGGAAATGAAGAGAGAGAGAGAGAGGGTGGAAGAGAGGAGAAAATAGTAGGAAAAGGAGAGCCTAGAGATGGTTATTTTAGCCATACCAGATTTTTGACAAAGCCTAGGTTCTGATTGGGCTCTATTTTAGAGAAGAAAGCTAGATTATCAATTTCATATCTAGCAAACTGTTTATGTCTTCTGCCACTCGGCGATGGACATCTACAGAGGATATGTTCAATTGTTTCTAGCTCTTCTTCGTCATCGCATAGACGACAGTAATCCTCTCCGCTGGAGTCCCATTTCGAAGTGAGAGATCTAATCCTGCAGTGACCTGTTATGACCCCTACAATGAATTTGATCTCTCTTATTATTATACGACAACAGCGAAGAAGTTCATCTGCGAGGGAATTTACCTCACATAGCTTTTGAGATTCTGCAATCAGGTTCTCTCGACCATCTGTTACCGACTACCTCGCCGTAGAACAAGCGGATTTTGCCAATGAAATAGCCAATGGGTGGTTGCACAGATCTCTCAATCGGAAGATTGGACGATTGTGAGCCCCCTCGAGCAAGCTCGTCGGCTAACTCGTTCCCTTCTATGTTGCTATGTTCTGGAACCCAACATAAATTTACTATCCGTCGTATATCATGCGAAGCGGACTTGCAATCAAGAACTGCTTTTGAGTTTATAGTACACGACTTCAAAACCTTGAGGGCCGCCTGACTATCGACATATATAGTCACCGGTCCCGTAATGTCGGCAGTAAGTGATTTTACTATCTCGGCCGCTTTCGTGATTGCAAAGATTTCTACTTGAAAAACGCTGCAAACATTGCTAAGTTTATATGAGTTGTATATTTCTAAATTCCTACAGTTGTGAAAAATTACAGGCCTGGCAGATTCCCTACTAGGAAACTCTACTCTGATGTCATTAAAGTCTCTATGAGAGGGAACATAGTCACTAATGTGAGTATTTCTCCTCAAGAAGTTACAACCTGGCGTTATGTTGAGGATACTAGAGTGACCATAGTTCAGCGATTTCAAAGCATCTGTTTCTCGGAGCCTCAGAGCAAATCTAGCAGCCTGGAATTTAATTAGAATATCCATTGGTTGGAGATTCAAGATCGCATTCGAGGCTGCCTGTGGTGTCCTTCTTAGCACTCTGATAATCAGGATCGAAGCCGATTGCTGCACTGAATTTAATTTTGTGAGCAGTATCTCTTTGTTGACCCCCTGCCATTGTGCAAGGCAACCGTATGTAAGAATGGGGAGAACGACCGTCACATACAGCCAGTGTATGATCTCTGGTCTTAGTTCCCAGCTCTTTCTTGCAAGAGTAGAGTGCTATAAGTCCTTTCTTTGAGCGTTCCTATTCCACGTTAATTTGCGGTCAAGGATTGTACCAAGGTATCACTCCTCCCAAAGATGGCAAGCGGAAACTAGGAATCTTACGTTTCCTACTGAAGAGCAACAATTCTGTCGTAGTGGGGTTTACACCAAGACCCTTGGCGTGTGCTCAGTTGGACAGAGTTGAAAGGGCGCCCTCCATAATATCTGAAATGGTCATTAGAGATTTCCCACCAACCAGCAAGACTACATCATCGGCATAGACTGCAACCTTTATTTTAAGATGATCGAATTTCAGCAGTATCCCATTTATCACCAGAAGCCACAGAAGGGGAGGTAGTACTACCAAAATTTATCGACTGCCAGGCATCCGTTTCCCGGAGCCTCATAGCAGCCTGGAAAACAACCAGAGAATACAGTGGTTGGAGATTCAACATTGAACCTTTAAATTATTAATTTGCAAAAGAAATAAACTAAAAAATTAAAATCTTATTTTATTAAAACGATACGCAAGAAATTAATTTTTAAAATTAATATTTTCCTTTTCATTTCAGTTTGTTTATTTTTCTATTAAATGCACAAAACCATCTCAGCCTGATTTATCGAATTCACTAACGAATTTAGTGAATTAACAAACACACACACATTCCAATAATTGGCAACAAATTTTCCGTTGCACATTTACACACAACTCAACACAACACAATGACAGAAACCAATGCATTTACCTCGAATCATGAGAGGAGTAGTAAACGATCTTCTCATAGATCATCATCCAGTCGTTCCAAGCGCAGTTCTTCGAGCAAACCACGCAAAGGTGGATCTTCATTTTTGAGAATTGTTGAGAGTATATTCTTTAGGTTATATACAATGATCGCCAGGCTGATTTTCAAATTTATCTATGGCGAAAAGGGACAATCGATGCCGGCCATTACAGATCCCATTCTATTGGAATCGGCTACTTCACTTGCCAGAAAAATACGCAAACAAGAGGTAAGAGGGAACTTTTCGTTGTCTTTTTAAGAGAGAAGAGAATATATATTTTTGTTGTTGTATTTTATTCCAGCTTACTAGCGTTCAAGTTTTAGAATCATTCATTAGACGTATCAAGGAGGTGAATCCTTTGCTGAATTGTGTGGTCGATGAACGTTATGACGATGCCATGAAAGAGGCCAAAGAAGCTGATGAGCTAATCAAATCCGGCAAATACACCGAAGAAGAATTGGAAAAACAAAAACCCTATTTGGGTGTTCCAATTTCCACCAAGGATTGTATTTCGGTCAAGGGTAAGTTAAGAAAATTCGATTCTTGCAGGATCTGAAACAGTAAGTGACATTTTTGATTCTTTGCAGGTATGCTGCACACATCTGGCCTGTACGAAAGACGCAATCATCGTGCCTCCGAAGATGCCGATGCCATGGCATTGATGCGCAAAGCTGGCGCCATTCCATTCGCTCTGACAAATGTCTCAGAAGTTTGCATGTGGTGGGAGAGCAACAATACCGTACATGGACGCAGTCGTAATCCCTACGACACCAATCGTATTGTTGGCGGTTCAAGTGGTGGTGAAGGTTGCATTCAAGCCGCGGCTGCATCACCCTTCGGTCTAGGCTCAGACATTGGCGGTTCTATTCGTATGCCTGCCTTTTTCAATGGTATCTTCGGTCATAAACCATCGAAATTCGTTGTTTCCAATCGGGGTCAATTCCCCCTGCCTAACTGTGAAGAACAAAATTCATTTTTGGGTATTGGTCCCATGGTCAGACATGCTGAGGATTTAAAACCAATGCTGAAGATTATCGCCGGCGAAAAAGCCGATCAACTGAAATTGGACGAACCTGTTGATGTACAGAAATTGAAATTCTTCTATCAGGAAACTGATGGCGGTGGTCGCCTTGTTTCACCCGTCGATTCGGATCTCATTGATGCCATTCATCGCATTGTTGATCATTTGCAAACGAAACTAAAGGTACCTGTTGAGCAGGTACAATTGCCAGCATTCCGTCAATCAGCTTCCATTTGGTTTGCCAATATGAAAGATGATACCGGTCATGCCTTCGACTATCAATTGGGCAACTGTAAACGTGTCATAAATACCAAACTGGAATTGGTAAAATGGATTTTCGGATCATCCAAACACACACTGATTGCCTTACTGACCGCACTTCTGGACAAATCCCAACCTCAACATGGTTCCTCGAAATACCATCACTTGGTTAAGAAACGTAATGAGTTGCGCGAAGAGATGCAACAACTATTGGGTGACAACGGTGTACTCATCTATCCCACACATCCCACCGTAGCTCCATATCACAATGAGCCCATCATTAAGCCCATAAACTTCTCCTACACCGGTATTATCAATGTTCTCGGCTTCCCAGCAACAAATATTCCCTTGGGATTGGGTTCGGAAGGTGTGCCACTTGGTGTACAGGTTGTTGCCAATTTCAATCAAGATCGTTTGTGCCTGGCCGTTGCTGAGGAGCTCGAGAAGGCATTTGGCGGCTGGAAGAGACCGGAAATACGCATTTAGTTTAGTCTATTAGCAAGTGACCAGTGACTCACTTATTCGATGTGTTTCGTTTCGTTTTACAACAGAGGAATATAAATGTGACATGCATATTTTTGAATTATTTACTTTTATTTTGCATATTTATTAACCTTAACCTGTAATAAACTACTTACATACATGCCTACATACATATATAGATATGTATTTATTTGATTGTCTTATAATTTATATACATTTTAAGTTTTTTTGTATTCAACTACACATAGTAGTACTAACACAATATTGATATTGTGTATAAAACATTCTTCTTTCTTTCTTTTGCATTTTAAATTATTTTTCTTATTTTGCGTCCGTCTGCTTAACTCCAGAACTATTAAATTACAAATGTTGTACAATAGTTAAGTTTTTTGTATGTATTCGAAATTAAAAACAAAAAATCAAATATATATTTACATATATATACATTAATGTATATTTGTGTTTTGTTATGGTATCAAAAACGATTTTTTTAATATTTTTAATGGTGGATTAAGATAGAAAAACTAACAGTGGTTTTAAATCAAAGAGTCAGTATAGAAAATCTGAAAGCGTATATACATATGTATATATTACATATTAGAAGTAGTCGCCCATGTGCTGCATTTCGAGTTTGCTCGAATGTGAAAAAATTTCCCAAATTTCGTGTGCTCTATTCCGAATTCCCAAAAAAATATTGGGAATATAATTCGAGCACATATAGCCTTGTAGATTGAAAACGAAATGAGATCGTACGTATTTTTCTGAGCACGTACAAGTTGAAAAAGAGCGCTGAAGTAATATTTAACGTGTTTTTACAAAATTTATTTAAAAATACAGTATTTAAATTAGTTTTTATAGTAAAATTAAAGAATATAAAAAGGACTCCTTTTATCAAAAACAGCGCGTAACATTTTTGATACAATCTATTAAAAAAACCTACTTTTAAGATTTCCAATAGTCCTTTCAATAATGTTTCTTGCAGATGTGTGCACTTTATTATATCGATGTTGACAAGATCCATGCTCCACTTGTTTATAGGGTGTCATCAAAAAAGTTTCTAAAGCGTAACCACTGTCTCTTAGAAGCCAACTTTTTTGCATAACATTTGCTCTATTGTTAATGCTGCCTAGCTGCACTCATATGCCAAATAAAATCATCATGGCTCGATCCTGGTCTGCAGCTAACAGAAAAAGAAATATTATTTTTACGATTATCTACATTGTTTTCCTTACAATCATTGCATTTATACTGAAGTATCCTTTTCTATTGTAGTATAAAGATGAGTTTCAAGTGGTTAGTTCAACCACATGTGTGTTCCATCTACACAGCCTATAACTCCTGGAAATCAGAAATGTTAATAAAAATGCAATTTGGATAACCTCATTTTATCTTCAATCAAATTAATGTTTATACACGCTGCACACACTTTGTCTTCCTGGACTTTCATTACTTCATTACACTTATATTTAAATCATTTGACACTACCCTCTGAAATCCACCAACAGCCAGAAATCTTAAGGTAGCTGCTAACTGCAGACTACCCTTGTGTATGAAAGGACCAACTTCTCTTAAAATAGCCATAAATGTTTCTTTATTTATCCTGAAAAGAGATACAAAGCTATAAAAATTTTTGGTAGGGCCTTGGAAATAATGATTAAAAATACTTACACAGATTCGGGCATATCCGTTGACACGTTCCAGTATCATTAAACTTTTTCTGATAGAAACCAGGGCAATTAATAAGCCAGCAGATATTTTTTCTTAATTTTGTTGTTAAACAAATTGCAAATTCCAATGAAACATATGTATGTATGTTTTTTATTGAACACATTTCGTAACATATTGAACACAGCTATGCTTTCGAGCGTACTTTCGCTCGAAATTGAGCACACCATTTTGCACAACATGAGAATTTAAAAAAGTATGGGAATTAAAAAACTCTCGGAACATGTCACATGGGCGAGTATATGTATATAACACATTATGTTATATATCTTCCACTTTTATATCAATCAACACACTCTTCATCGCCTCTTGTAAATATCTTAAAATTTATTTTCAAAAAATTGAATATAGGGCAAATGATTGATTTCAAAGAGTTCATGGCGTTTACATTTTCGTTGTTTTCCATAATCCGATGTCTTCACATATATAGCTGTGAAGACTTATTAGAGACTTCAGTTTACTACGCTATAAGTGAGGGTTATTAATGACTTCATTTTTTCACAGTAAGGCGAACTTTTTTCGAAATCGGCGATGCAGTCGCGATCACATCTGCATCTGCGTTCGTCATTACCTGGTAGTTTGATTTCGCAATAGGAGGTCGCAATTCTTGAAGTATTTTTTACTGGTCCTTCGTCATTCAATGATCCTCCTCTATAGTTCTGACTGGGTTGCTACAGTATCAAAATATATGTGTATCGTGCTTCCAAATCCTCAATTTCCAGGTTCCATGAATCATCTGGAGACACTTGATTGAGTTTAATTAGAACGTTGAACAAATGTAGCGTTTTTTACTGGTGCTTCGTCATTCACGGATCCTCCTCTATAGTTATGACTGGGTTGCTGCAGCATCTAAATATATGTGTATCGTGCTTCCAAATCCTCAATTTCCAGGTTCCATGAATCATCTGGAGATACTTGATTGAGTTTAATTAGAGCGTTGAACAAGTGTAGCGTATTGTGAGACCCTAGTCCGCATACAGGGTATGTGTTGATGTTGTAGCCCCTATTGCTTTTACACAATGGGTGAGGTGACATACGTTGGCCGAGTAACACTCGTACCGTAGACCGTAGAAACACAGGGTTTTTGTCTGGTATCGTGCTGGCAATACGCATATCTTTGTTGGTTTAAAATCACTTTGACTATCGTCATTCTTCTGATATGAGTTGTGGGGAACTCTAATTTTTGTATTCACATATTATCGGTCCATAGTCTGGTTAAATGTCCTTGTGATATGCCCCTAGATCAAGGGTTCCCTCTTCCAAAGCCTCTTCATATAAATGGTCCAATCGTTTCATAAGAAGACATCCTGTCGCAAATGTCAGGGCGCCATTCTGGCAAGTTTGAACACTCTCCCACTGCGTATCGCTAACATTCACAAACAACACCGGGTCGTCATAGCTCGCCACCAACCGACATCTATACAAAGCAATAGAGGTCAACAAGCTATATTTGTTTCTGGCAAGCTATTTGAGGACGTTATAGCGGTGCCTTGCGCAGACGGCTGACGAATGCTACACTCACAATATCGGTCTAGATTGTGATCGGATTTTGTGCCCCATCAATCGAGATGTTCAGCAGAAGCTTCTGACAAAGTAGAGGTATGGCTCCGCCGGAATTCGATCGACTCGAGAACTTCCGAATGAACTTTTAGATTCCTTTTGATCAGATAGATTCCTTTTTGACTGCATCTATTGAAATACGAATGAGACCAAAGTCGCTTACGACATTAGCTTTAAATAGCCTATTGTATTCCTGCCAACGGGTTATTCGTCGGGCTGACTTCGACAGTCCCTTACCCTCAGTTGCTTTGGATGGTGATTTCGGCGATTTCTTAGCACTCAGGTTTCCCTTAGGGGAGCTGAAGGCTCAGCTCACTGTTTTCAGCCACTGAAAACACAGAGGAGACTCTTTTGAAGGTGCTACGGTGTTAGACTTCGGACGAGATGTAGGAATTCTATCAATTAAGAAGTCCCATCGCAAACATCATTCCGAGAGCTTCCGGATGTATTTGAGGTTTCTCTTAATTAGAAGGAACTCTTTGTCCGTTATCGAGTCTCTGTCCCGTCCTATAAACCGGTTGCAGTAATTAACCACTCTCTGGCAAATCTTCTTGTCAGAGATCTCTCTGGCGTTGTCTCGTTTAGTGGTTCCCGGTTCCGATGATTTATCCATCTTTACGATGGGGAGTTCATCGGCCCCCGTATCCACTTAAAATAGAAACCAAAGCCATCTCACCTCTCTCTCCCTTAGCGTGGTTTTATATTTATCGGGATCGGTGTTTTTTAATTTTGTAACAAGCGTACTTTTTATTCACAAAAGGTACGCATACATAAACGTACCAAAACAAAAATTAGATTTTTTTAATGATTCGTGAATACATTTACGCTTAAATTATAACATATATTATTTATGCAAATAACTGGTATAAATATTGGTCAATATTTAACCACGCTTAGTGATCAAAATACATAAATATCCGGCATCCAAATGGAATGGCAAAAATTAAATACTACAGTCTAATATCTACACTTACTTCATAGAAAAATACATCTGCTCTTCGCTATCTTACGTTTTTACAAATACTGGGCTGCAATACAGCTCTGTTCGCCTTCCAATAAAAAAAAAATAAACCAAAAGTTTTATAGTTTTTATTCGAAAATGTGTGATTTGTTTTTATTTCATTTAAAATGAAGCTTTAAGGTAGGTAATTTACGGTATATTTTTGTAGTTATATATATAGTATATTTATATGTTTGTATGTATATAAATGTAAATAGTTGTTGTTGTATATATATAATAATATTACGAGTTCCATGTTAATTTCTCTCTATGAAATTCGAAATTTTGACAGAAACTCTGGCCCACACCATTCATCAATAACCTGAAAGTTGCTAACGAGCATAAGTAATTAAATTAAATAAATTATTTCACAGTAAAAAAACAAAAGAATTTAAAAGCATATCACAATATTCCTTTGTATATTATTAAAAACAAAACTAAAACAAAACATGAATTTTGTAATTAAACAAATTTGTTTTGTGTGTGTGTTGGGGAGGATAAATACATTTTGATAGTGTGGGCTCAAGTTTGCTGCAACTAAAAGTTATAGTACTTACAAAACTATAAGGAAGTTATTATTTCAAATTAAAATGCAAGAAATTCATGGGTGTTTGGTTGCTGTTGTTGTTTTTATACTTTTTTTAATCCAAAAACAATTAAAACATTTGCTGTCCTTTTACAATGCAAAATTATTGGCGCCCCTGCAAGCGCTATTATTATAAAGTAAACGCAACGGAAGTCCTTTCTCAATGGAAGGATCGAAAGTATCAATCAATCAATCAAACATACATAACTATTACTTGTGTTGTAAGAAAACTACAAACTAACTAAGAGTAAGTAAATGATCATATGCGAATCATCATAAAAAATCAATACAATATTTTCTTTTTGTTTTTTATATATGAGAAATACAAATATTAGTAAAAAAGGAAAAGTAATTAATAAAATCACTTAAAAACAACATTAGATTTTGCCGCCCAGCGACTGTATCAGCTTGAGAAGGTCCGAACGCTTGGCCGAGATGGTGTCTTGATGCAATGGCCCCACACCTTCCACACACTCAAAACGATTCACGTTGTCGGCAATATTATCCGTCATACAGATCACATGAATTCCACAGTCATAACCATTGGCCTGTTGTAGACAACGTATCGGCTTCATATGGCTATTTCGACAATTCAGCGCATCCTTGATACGTTGCACAAACTGATGTGAGGCATTTGAATTGTTATTGCCCCACGAATCGAAATGGAAAAATGTCTTTTCTGGCCGTGAGAAAACCAACAGGGACCAGTGTGTACCGCCTGCCTCCGTAGTCTCATTGTCATTGAGTACAAAGAATATAAATGGCTTCTTGGGAGCTTCCAATTGATTCAGTAGTGTTTCCAATTCGCCATCATCGGAAAATTTCATGCATTGTGTTACTTCGGGCGGTACAAACAATAAATCGGGATTGTTTTTATATTTCACTCGTTCCAAATATTCATAGTAGAATGATATTATTTGATCATTTAACCAATATGGACCACTTAACAGTTGAACATCAGATGTCCTTAAACAGGTCTCATTGAAACTTAAAGCAATCGGATCGGCATGAGAATAGGAACTCATTGTGTATGCTGATTTTTAGATCTGCGTTATAATCAAACAACATAAATTTTCTGTAGATTTCGTATGGAGTGTGTTTATCTTCTGATCTGAAATTTGAACACAAAAATTGTGAGAAGAAAATGCGTGGCGGGGTTAGGAGGAAAAATGCCAAAAAAGCGTGTGTAATATAAATTTAGATTGGAGCAAGTTTTCGATAATAAGTTTCGACATGTTTGACAATTTATGTAATTCATAGAAACTGATCAAACATCAGCCATATGTAAACATAATCTTCTATATACCTATAGTTTTATGTTACATTCTCGAACTATTGAAAACAACAATTGACCTCTTTATATTGGAAAACGCACAACTTGATCAAAAAATTTATTTTTTTTTAGATTTTTCTTTTCTTTTTTATATGTAATCCAAAATTTTATATAATCTAGCTGCGTATTAAATATAAGCTCTAAAACATCTGCGGGCAACATTTGCGCCATTAAGAAAAATCGATTTTTTTCTCTACAAGATACATGAAATATAGACATTTTAGATATATGTGCACAAAAATGTGTATTGTTTCAGGTTAAATTATAAAATTTTGTATAAGTTTTTGCCAATATGAACAGATTTGTCCCAATTTTCCAATGCCAAATAATAGCCAATTTGGATCCCAAATCCGACCTGTACTTTGTTTACAGTTTCTTGAATTTGTTTCATGAAATTAGTTTAATATGGACTGGGACTATACAAAACTTATAATTTCTTTCTATCGATTATAATTTCTTCCTATCATAAATCTCTTCATTTCGAAATCACCCATATTAAATTCAGTGTGAAATCCGAACATAACAAAGTGGAATGCAAAATAACAGTCGTTTCAGTTGGAAAATGCCTACAACCATAAAATACCTAAAAATGTATGGAACAAGTTGAGTTTTGGAGTTCATCTCCGTTTTTTTCTGAAAATTTTACCACAGGTAGCACTTTTCTCCCTGATCACAAGCTATACCTGTGGTAAAAATTTCAGAAAAATCGGAGATGCGCCCTTAAACTCTAATTAAGACAAATGTATAAACCATTTAATATTTTCTGCATAGATATTTTTCGTTTTATAACAATTTGGAATGACGAATTGCAGAACATCATTCTAAAAATGCGACTAAAATCTTCAAAATACGGAAAACGAGACAGTGCCGTTATATTAGGGACTATACCGAATTATTTATTTTCAATACCAAACATATTGTGAGGCCTTGATTACAGCGATAATGACATATCGCTTGTCTTGATTAAAGTTTTGGCCCTTAACTTGATATTGTTAATAACGACAACGCTTATAGCGACCAATTCCGTTGTTATAAGTTTTTTATACACTCAGCCTGAGGACTAATGATACGGTGAAAATGTGCCTCATCGAAATATTGGTTTTAGATCCCATGGTTATACTAGTGTCAACATCATTTGACAGAAAAATTTAAACAAACAAATTATATTTATTTTGAATATGAAATATTTTCGAATCCTCAAGAGAAAATTTGAGAAACATAAATGAAAATCTATCAACTTTATATTTCTATCGCTTACACATACATATATATGCCATTGGCATATATATGTGTAACATATATGAAAATGCTGGGAATAGCGAGTTATTCCTTGAAGAAAGATTTGCTTCTTCAAACCTTCCCAGCAGGCAGATTGAGTAAATTGAATACGGGAGCACATTTATTATTATTATTATTATTTATTCATTTCAAAGCCAAGCCAAAAAGCCTTATATGGCCAGTATACTACAAAATAAACTTAGACCAAATTAAAAATATAAATTTTAAACACTAGTATTTCTTTTCATGTTACATTTGTTCAAGCTCCATAAATACTCATTAAAAGTAATAGAAAAAAATCATTTGAATAAGAACTACTCTGAATTGATTTACAAAAACATTAAAGTAAAATATTAAGTAATTACAGAAATTTATCTTCAGTATTCAACTACTCAAAAAAATAAAGAAAAAAAATTAATAAAGAACAGTTTCAAATTGATTTGTTTGATTTTTAAAAACATAATTTGTCAAATTCATATTGACACTAATACAGTATATATCGGATATAAGAAACTCAAATAAGTCAGAGATTTCTTTCTTATATGCGTTTTTTCTTATGAAACGTTTTCAAATACTTTTGTCAGCTTTGATTTTTGACAAACATTTCATATATCAGCGTTTTTCTTATATGAAGCATTTTTTACACTGATAATATGTAAAAAGGCTCTGTGTTTTTGATAATCTTTCTTATATCCGATGTTTTCTTATATCCGATATCTACTGTATTACGTTGGAATCAAATCAGCTGCGATTTTCTGTTATATGTTAATAAAAACCATGGCATAATTATACAAGGTAGTATCTTGCAGTCATATGTTTTCAATTTTTTCATAAATTAGCTTTTGACAGTATTCACCTTGCAACATTTAAGGGAGAATATCTTCCTTTGAAATTTACGCATATGTGTTCAGTGGTAAAAATTGCTAAATAATATATATTTATAAATATTTTGAAGTTCCCTATCAGTAAAACCTATAAATATAATGCCATGTTCTGACGGGCATTCGAACAACGTAGTTCGCTCTCAGAATTACGTATATGAATTAACCCGTTCATACAACACTATTCTTAATTCATGTCATCAGAGTTTTTTTATTTCAAAATTTTTGTTTCTTGTTTCACACCGAAATTGTAACATGTTTGCGTAAATAACTTATGGATTTAAATAGAAAAAATAATTCTCTTTCTCCTGACTATAATATCAACCCCTATCTCTTTACTTTTAATTCATGTTTTCCATTTTTTCTGAAAATATTGTTGTTTTCAATACATTTTTATATTTTCTCAACTCAAATGTCACATTTAAAAAATGGGAGAATTTTTGTTTGGGTTTCCCCACTTTAGTTTCCGGTTTTGTACGCTAATTAGAACCAAGGGGAAAGAAATGTACATTGCATTATGTAGACAACAAAATTTACATCCTTCTGCATATATAAAAACTAGAATTGTGGTTACTTTTCATTCATCATTTTCAATTTTACTGAAAATTTTAAAAATTTTTTCATGCTGTCAAAATTAATTTATTTTCGATAAATTCTCTCAATTGTTAGAGATGGGACAACATTTTTGGTGATTCAGAGAGTGATTCGAATTGAACAACGTACAAAAGTCGGTGTTCGCTCAGACAATTTTGTATGGGGAACTAAGTAATTACTTTATAATTTAGGGTCGAACAACGAATGAGAGAGCGAACAACGTTCGTCTGTACATGGTATAAGATGTAACAACCAGGTTTCAATCCTGAGAGCAATGTTCTGCTTTAGAAAATATGCTTTGTTTAATTTATTGAAAATATGCCAATCGACATACATACATAAAATTTATTTGAAATTGATAGATGATTTCCAAATTAAAAACGGTTGCCATCATAAAATTCTCAAATGAGACTACCTTGTGTAATTATGCCATGGATAAAACCATACCTTATATAAAGCGAATAATAAAACCTGTGTGAAATTCCGAAGACTTTTCGCAAACCACAGCCAGAGGGTATATATCTGTCGGCAACACTGACACTTTTTTACTTGTTTACTACGCTTTTTAAACTTCACTGGTGCAATATTTTTATCAATTTTAAAAATTGTAAATGCCGAATTCAAAAGTGTGAGTATATAGTTTAGAAGTCGTCCATACTTCCTGAAATATACGCTTCAAAAATTCCCCTGGAACCTTTTTATTTGCCCCAACAAAATGCTTTTTTTTAATGAAAGTTTTAAAATCCCCGACAGAAGGCCGGTCACCAATCAAGATCTGCAGTTTGGCCGGTCACCAAACAAGATCGAATTTTAGCCAAAACAATACGTACGGTCCAGAGTGATTATGAGCTCCTATCCATATTAACCAACAAGAACTTAAGGTTTAAACGGTAGGCCGATGATAATTATGAAAATATAAGAAATATTTTTCAGAGGCAACGGGGCGCTAAAATGCGACTCGATTCTAACCAATCGGTTCGCGAATAATATTAAGTTCTATTAGCGCAAAGTATGACCGATCTAAATGCCTTTATAAATAACTATCGTCATAGTAAATGTATTCAAATAAGAGTAACCCGTTTTTGGTTAATACAAAGCAACTACCAAGTTAATATACTTTGCAACGCCGAGCAACAAGATGTTTGTCGTGTTGCATGTTTGTTGCCATGCAGAAAACATAAGCCACACTTTTTGCGACGCAAATTTCCACTTGACTTCCTATTACCAAAATATACCTAAATTACTTTCAATTTCTTTTTGATTCTCTTTCTTGTTCTTCCATATTGGATGCACATATTATGAACCTGGATGAACTGATACTTTGGATACTTGCCCAAAACTAAATTCTCTCACCAAAAATTCTTCGTTGGTTATCCATATTTCATTTGATGGTGCAATGAGTTAATATGTACCTCGTTCTAGTTGATTTCAAGATTCGCACAATTCGATGTTTATGTGTTGCTTTATTAATGAAATAATTTTATTTTTCGCACATTTATAATATTGTTTTAACCAACAAATGTTCGCAAAAATGCAACGCAAATGCAAATGCCTCCTTCTCAGCGACTACGAAAAATTAAAAACCGTTCCATCAGCTACAAATGGAGGGAGAAGAAAAAATGGCCGATAAAGAAGGAACTCAAAGTGAAAAACGGAAAATTTACGAATGGGGTGAGATGGACACAGCTTGAAAAGCGTATTGTTGAGAAGGAATGGCATGGAAGAATTGTCGATTAGGGATTCCGCAAGTCGGCGATAATGATCAATCTAATCTAAAAACGTTTCGAACGCTCTGAATAGGGGGAAAAGGAGAGAAAAGCCGACTTTAATTATAAACAATAATGATGTAAACCGTTATTTCGTAATTTTTATATAATTTCAAATAATACCCTGCTTAAAAAACAATACCTTTCCTAAAAGTATACTTCAAAATAATAATGGCGGCATATTGTACTTGTTTAGACGGAGATGTGGAAAATGTAATAAT